GGCGCGATCTTGGAAGCTGCAGCCGTGCCGAATGCAGCCAGAGTTCACCAAACTGACGGCTAAACGAGGCCCAATCGACGGCATTTGGTCCCGCTGCCATCACCCGATCATGACGACAGTGCAGTGCGCAGTGTGAAGCTGCAGTGAGGTCACGAAACTTATCGGACGTAGCGCAACTGCACGCCTAAGCAGACTGCAGCCGTTCGGTCGGGCAGCTGGTGGGAAAAGACTGCGTGCAACTGGTTGGAAAGGGAACTGGGACATCAAATCATTATCCAGCCACTTGATCCACATGGGGTTGCAGGGAGGGCAGCGTATGGAGGGAGTGGCTTCAGCCGTTTCAGCCGACCGCATCATCCATAGACTATCACGTAATGGTGGTGCCGGCGAGGCTTCCTAATGGGCTTCATGAGCTAGTTGAATTAGATGGCGTGTGTCATGCGTGCACGAGGCGGCAAGTTATGACTGGCTATAATTCATGCGTGGCATATGTGTCATCCGAACGATATCAATTTCAATTCATTAGGCTGAAAATGCAATTTCTTATATTCACGGTGAGTAAAGACACAACGAAACACATTATGCTGTCCAATGTGTAGCGCCAGAGTCGAGCCATGGGGTACATTTCAGTTTCACTAATGCAACTATCGGGCACTTGCGCCGCCCGTGAAAAGGTCATAATTAAAATTGCCTCAGTATAACTGGTACCGCCCACGAAACAGCACACTGGCACCGTCTGAAGTAAAGGCGGGTCACATCCGGCCGATGAATTGACCATAGCCGACCCGATCATAGCCTCACAGCTGACCATAAATCATACCTTACCGCCCGGTCAAAGTGCACCTACCCATAAAGCAGGCGGGTGGTATGTGCACGATCGCTTTAGGAAAGCGACCAACTCGATACCGCTTGCAGGCTTGAGGAAGTAAATAATACTTGAATCAATTAATTATTGGCAGTGCGGCTGAACAGTGAACAAGTGAAAATCGATAAAAATAAAATATTAGACACACAAAGAAACAAGACTCTGAATAAAAAAAATCATTTGTAGACCAATATTCTTTCGATTTTCATATTATCGAGAAAGAGCTCAAAAATATGTGAAACTTAAAATTATCGGTCTAGCCAAAGACTTCTCTAAATATATAGAGAAGTTTGTGGTCTAGCCATAGAGAAGTCTAGCATATCACTTTTAATATCAAAAGAAAACCAAGGTAAGAATATCAGTACAAATTTGGTCCTGGTGTCTTTCCTCCTCCTTGGCATAATTCTATATTTTCTTACAATCGTGTCACCAACGGCTTGTTCCAACATGCACGCACTGGACTTTTGAGATGTAGACTGTAGAGTGTCAGAGCCCAACGATCCTGCGCTGTCGCCGTTCTGACAGTAAAGGGGGTGCCAGTCGCCTAATAGCGAAGAAAATTGGATGAGGACAACAACACCGAACAATGTCAAAGTTTCAGGTGAAGTCTTTGATGGTTATTCAGTTCCAGGAATCTCTTCATTAGATAATGAGATAGATATCAAGTTTAAAGATTATCAATATGTGAGAGGAATAAAAAGAAACAGTACAATACAAAGCACACAAAAAGCATTCCCGATACTTGGCAAGCACAGAGGTGGATCCAGCCACTACACAGACATTGGACTCAGCTCCGTTCCATAGTTTCGTTGTCCTATGCTTCATAATCCTGCACATTCACAGTTCTGGTGAGCTACCCATGCCCCAGACAAACTCATTAGATAGGACCATCTTCCCGGTTAGCCTCCACGATCGACACATGTTTCCACAGCAGACAGAGAATCCATGTCGTCACGCCCACTGCATCCTGTTGACCTACCAGGACCGGAAACACTCCATCCAAACTCGACCGTCGCGACTCCTCCCCGTACGCCTGCACTCCCCGCAAAGCGCCAGCGGGGCAACCCGCACCTTCCTTCCGTCGTTCCCGATTTCGACGAGCTTGTCTGGTATGAAGCACCATATCCCCTGGTCAGTGAGGTGGTCCTGGGTTGGCAGCGCCGCCCACGAGCGGAGGCGGTCGCGGCATGGGCGGCGCCACCGGGGGGGACGGGGGGGACAGGTCCCCCGCTATCGAAAGTTAGGGGGGTACAGTACCCCCCTATCGGCGAGGCCCGTTCAATAGTTGATAATAATGCATTATAGAGCTATCCGTCGCATTTAATGCATCGTTGGTTAATCAAGGCAGGTTCTGAATAAAGATTGCTGTTGGGATGCATCGCAGGGGGTCCTGACCATCTGCAAAAGGTGTGGAGCTGTGATGCCTGTAGTTATAAGGTGATCGGCAGGGCCTCGGGGATCGTGCCCCCTTTTTGGGGCGCCAGGCAGGGTTATTACTTATTACCTCCCCACCCCACTGCCAGACCCCATTGCCGATAAAACCAAGTTCACTGAAATTCCATAGATTTCCGTTACTATATGAAAATTTTCCATTCCTAATTAGTCAAATTCAAGCATGGCAGTTCTACCACAGGAACCATTTGAAATCTATGCCATTTAACCCCAGCACTTGTGGGGAGAAGTGTTCGGATAGATCACAGGCAGGACCAAAAAAGCACGCGGTAGCCCAAGACCTTATAATTGGATATAGCATCGGCTCCCTCTCGTCAAGGGGTTCGATAGCACTCGTTTTTTTTTCTGCAAAACTAAGTTCGGTCGGCGGCCGAACAGCTGGGGGTCTAATCGAGCCCCCCATCCCTCCCCTTCTTACGTCAGCGGCTGTGAAAATGCCATTACCCGCTGTTGAAACATGGCAGTTGCTTTTGCATGAGTGCACGAAAGGGTTTTAGGTCCGTGATACGTGAAAGGTTCTACATGAAAATTGAGATACACCAGCTTATCAAATTGTGCTCACTGTGGTGCGCTCGGTTTTACCTTGACTAGTCTTTGAATTCTGGGGTGAAACAGACCAGCCAAGAAACCTGTTCCATAAGGAGAGCCACTAATGCTAAAGAGATGTGGGATGAGGTTTCCAGAGACCTTCATTACCTCCCAAAGGGGGTGCCCCGCCATTTGCCAATCCCTGCTGTAGTTGTTACGATTGGAGGGTGAATATGAGAACGATGCAGGTCGTGCCAGCTCGATCGTGACGAACACAATGGTGCCGACATCACAGCTCTACTGCCGTTTTTGACGAAGTTAATCAACAAGCACCGGAATCCTACCCTGGGGCATTTTACCTGCAGAGGTCGCCGGATCTGAGACCCTTTCACTCAATTTTTCAACGGTGCATGCGCTCGTTTTTCCCGCGAAGCTCTTGGCAAGTAAAATCCATCAGAAAGTGTGATCAAATAACGGCTGGTGACCTTCCAATTTCCATGACCTAGCATGGCCTTTTGAGTGACCACCGATGACATGACCACTGATGGCTAGCCATTAGCTGCACCCTGCCCGTTGCATATGGATCAGGTGGTGATGTCATGATTCTGAAATTATATTGCAGTTTTGGCGCACTTGTCAGAGCAGAAGACATTCCCACTTTTCCTCCATGACTATATGATGGTGAAGCCCTGAAGCTGACCAAACGTAAGATCGAAAATTTGAAAGTACGAAGCGTAGTAGAAAAGTAGCTGGCACTGCTACTCATACCTAAGCAATTCGCAGCTTGAAGGAAACCAGCTTTGAGTTGGCAAGACTGCAAATTTTGATTTAGAGGCAAGGATGCTTGAAAAGGTGATCGATCTTAGGTGTCCTAGGATAAGTTTGGAAACGGGATGCACCATTCGATGTGTTTTGGGCCTTGCCAAGTTTCGCGGCGTTATAGTGCCTCGTTTTTTTTTTGCATACACGATCAGTATCTACTTTTGGGATTTTCGATTTTCGGTCCCCGTCCCCCCCCTATCGAAAACCCGTGGCGCCGCCCCTGGGTCGCGGCTGACCGGCCGTCGCTCGCGTGTGGGTGTCTCCTTTCGGCGCTGCTGGCGTCATGTTAACGCCCCCAACTCCCCCGCCCACTGGTTTGACGTGTCAGTGGTCAGCAGGCGTCACCTCGGTGACTGTAGTGACCAGTGGTCACCCTGGCGCGCTGGGCAGCTGTTGCCAGTCAACAGGGACAACTAGGCAACTGGCTGTGATTGAAGTACATAGACAGATGAGCGAATTGGACGACGATTACAAGGAAAAGCAGTGAGCATATTCGCCGTTGACGAGGATTTCAGTTTCCTAGTCGTCAGTCGCTGAACACTGAAGGCGAACACTGCACAGGTTCAACCAATCATGAACAATGAGCAGAGCTGGTCTGAGCTTCAACTAACCAAGAATGCATGTAACCAAAGGCCATGAACTATGACTAACCGCCACCTATCAACGCAAATAGGACCAGAGTCCAGAGGGGCAGCCAGTGCCAACGCGATAACAATTGACCAAGATTTACTGACCAATAACCTTTTCAATAGCCCAAAGAAGCGCTGCCAATTGACTGAAGATGCAAGTGCTGTCTGTTGTCCAGGACGAACACGACGAGGGACAGGGAGGCGGGAGCAGACCCCGCACCCTCAGATTCGCGCGACTGAGCTGGGATACATTAGCGAGATAAGGGGTTGCATCACTGGCGACAGCCATTGACCCTGATGAAGGTCAAATTATCCTTGCCGAGATGAGATTATTTATAGATATGGAGTGTACACAATAGAGGTGACATCATGTATGCAACAGTTCATGTGGCTATCGTTATCACACAAAGGGATAAGTCCATAGGTCCATGCGGAATTGCATCATCTCCTTCAAATATTCAGCTTTAGATTGTGTTCAACATGCCTAAAAAGTTGTTTTAAAACAAGAGCTTGTTTCCATAAGCAGGAAGCCGTGTCATCATGTTTCGCTGCAGCTTGTCGTGCAACATGATGAGATGCAACTCGAGCCGCAACTCGCCACATAATGAAGCACTGTCACCACAATGGTCACCCTAATTGTAAACAGTTTACACAGCTCTGCACATAACCCCGTGCCACGTGCGATCAGAGTTCGCACCGCTCACCTCTCTCGACGGCTCCACGTGGCTCCACGTGCACTCTCGGGACGCTCACTCGCGCACGGGTCAGGGCAGCACGCGCGGCGCGACCGGTCACGTGGCCCGGCAGAACCGACTGAGAGCCCGTCGGCGCCGGCGCGCTGCCGCCGCCGACGACGGCGCCGGCACATGGCTCGACTGACGACCCGAAATAGCCCCGCCGCCGCCACTGCGCCGGTCCGGGACGGGGCGGCGTGGCGGAGAGACCAACCCGCGGCGCCCGGAGACCAACCCGCGCCGGCCCGCGACGATCCTCCCGTCAAAGACTGGCTAGACAGGGGGTGGGAGGGGGGCGTGGGTCGTCCGACGGTGGGGTTTAGGGTGGGGTGGGGGTGATGCATGCCTCAGGCGGCGACTGACCGCCAGCCGACCGACGCTGCTGTCGGAAACGCGTGCCGCGGCTGGCGCGTGACCGCAGACAGCTGGTGCCGTGCCGGGTCGAAACGTCACCTCTCAGCCACGTCACTGGTCCCACAACACATCACCGCTCTGCCCCGTATTGTAAGTAAAAAAGGGAAAATAGGATCTGAATTTGTCAATTATCACGACGACAGAAAGCACCAAAAACCATCACGAAGTTGGTCAAACTCGAATAAAAGAGAAACCGGAAAATTAACAGCACACAAATGACAAAAATCCATAGGTAGATTTTGGGGATTACGACAGCTGTGAAATTTGATCCATTCGTCGCTATTAGCATGTATCACAAAAAAAACGAGATACAGTGACCGTCATACACTGCCCTAGTGTCGCACGCTTCCACCGGTATTGGTGTATACTGTATGTAATGGTCGCATATGACCCCCGATCACTTTTCCCCAGCAGCAAAAGGATGTAAACGCTATAAGATTCGAACATTACAGGGTAGAGTGCAAGATTCTAATAACAATTGTTACGATGAAGCCGCGTTTTATTATAACTTGTGTCTTGTTATACTAAAATAATTTTTAACATACATAAGCGCATCAAACTAAGTAAGTAACCAAAGTGTATAAAAAAAACGAAATTTGGTTTTATGTAGGGCGTTGCCACAATGTCATGACACGTTCCTACTCTAAAGATAGCGATATGTGTCTTTCCCTCCCTTCGTTGGACGACTTTTGCAGCAACGATCAGCTCCGACATGCTCCGGTTATACCCCTCCCCCACCCCCTGCAACACAGATCAAATAGCTATCGGCAATAGTAAACCCTCCAAAATCATTAGCTAGCTCTCAATAGGTAGAAATGAACTATTTTATCAATAAACAAATGATAAATAAGACACACTAAAAGCATAATAAAAGAAATAAAGGTCACAAAATAATGAAGTTCCATATCGTTCCTAGAGCATTTAACCCGGCCGGGCCCGGGGGGTAATCCCAACTAGTGGTGTCAATCGGTTACCGAAAATTTCGGTTACCGAAAATATATGCTGACCGATTTGGTAATCGGTCGGTCAGGCCCCCCAAAAATCGGACACTTTCGGTCACCCTGCCAGTGAAACCATTTTCTAAAAGAGAGAGCATTCCATTTTTGCCTAGTTAAAATGAAATTTATTGGGATGTTAATGATAAAGTTGCAAAATTACCCCCAAATGCCAAATGCCACATTTTGGCATCTTCATTAGCCATCCCACCCAGCAGGCAGCAGCCACCCATTGTCCAACCACAACTACAAGCGGCCAAGCACGCTGATTTTGACTCAGTTGACCCCACAAGTACACACAATTTTGAAACTCTATTCCAGGCTAACTGTTAAAATTTCACCTGTTTTCAAAGAAGTATTGCCTACAAAAAAATCATTATACAGTCATCAAAAATGCAAGGACAAAAATAACTTGAATTACTGAAATGTGTTTCTGAAGACTGGACAGTTAGCACTTAGCAGTGATCACATTTACATTTCACAGGTGTTCAACTATTCCACATTCTCCTTAAATATTGCAGGTACCAACCAAATGTTTGAAATCTAGATGACCACAACATACAAACATAGGAATCTTGACAAAAACTACATATTCGGCCCATGTCCGATTTCTGGAATCTTCCACATTCCAAACACAAGGAAGGATTTCGAAACAGATGCGCCATAACAGAGACTTTAAACCAGCTGATTAAGTTGCTGCAAAAAAAAAGTTTTGGATCGTTACATGCTGCCTCGTGAATAATTTTATTGATGTAAATGATCCAACACGATATTGAATTCTAATGAAATCAACATTGTGAGTGTAATTCACTACAAGGAAATTAATTTCCCCTCAATAATTCGACCAAAAGGGCATATAAATAAATATTACGTCATCATCATACATCCTTTCGTTAGGGAAGAGAGGATCTTAAAAGTCAATCCTTGGTTCTTCTATTACTCTTTGCGCCACTTTGGCGCCACTGTATTAATTTTGTCTGCATATTTTGTTTTCTTGTAAAGATAAGATTAACAAGAGATAAGACAAAGTGCCTGTTAAATGAATTTTCATTTCATTTTTGTGACAAAATTCAAGCTCAGAGCTACCTAATACCTGCCTTTTCAGCTGGATTTTCAGTGTCAAATTCTTTGTAGAGTACCTCTCAGACCACATCTTAAGACTCAAGGCAAGTTTCCAAGCAGTTTTGATGTGTTTTGTGGTGTTTTGATTCCGCCTTTTCTCCTAGGGAATGTTGTCATGAACATACATATTACCAACCATTTGACTTACCTACTAATTGATCGTGCTTTTGCAACATGAATGAGCATTCTTCCTTACATAGACCACAGTAGATTCTTGACAATTCTAATTAACCAAATCTGTGAAATGCTGAGGTCCATGTGTTGCTACCCTCAGCAATGTATTGTAACTTCTACCACAAAATGTATTTTGCAGTGGCTAAGAATTGACTGAACTTGGACTGAAATGCCATTTCGCATTATTTTCCATCAGAATTTACCAAATATCTTAATTTTGGGGGTAGAGTAATAGCAAATAGAATTTCGGTCAAATTTCGGTCAAATTTTGGCTTGGGATGTTATCGGTCGGTATTCGGTCGGAAATTTTTCCCAAATTTTGGTTTCGGTCGGTATCGGTCAGACATTTTTTGGAAAATGACATCACTAATCCCAACCATCGCAGCCCGGGGGGGCGTTTTTCGCCCCCCCCCCCCTGTCTAACTCCGTAAATAAGGGAGCTACGGAAACAAAAGCGATACCAAACGAAAGGTCCTAACGAGACGATTCTAATGCACCTAAAATTTTTGACCTCAGGTCAATTTTCAAGGTCAGAGGTCAAGGTCAAAGGCCAAAACCGGCACATGTGTAGTGATCTCAAAGTAAGCCTTCTAGAGGACGGTAGGCTGCATCAAACCGGCAAAATTGGGTGTCAAACGAAAGAAGAGAATCTGAGGATTCTGAAAATGTGCTCCAAATCAAAGGTCAAGGTCAAGGTCACGCTCAAAATTGACCTCAAACTTGGCACTTTTTCGCACATCTTGCGTGCTAACTTCCAAGATGTTTTGAAATGTTTTGAGGCTTATCAGTTCCCTATATGTGGTTCATCTTACGATACAAGGCTGCGCAAAGGTCAAGGTCACAGAAGAGTATCCCTGCTAGAGGCTATTTCACTGATTCAAGCTAGTAATAATAAATAAGACAATTTTGCCATCCGGAAGCTCTAAATGAAGGCTTAGAGGAAAATAGATGCCAGATTCGTGATCAGCGGGTACAAATCCATCATAAACGACCTTTCATGTGTCAAGGTCAACCAGAGGTCATTCGAGGTCACATGAGGTCAACATGAAACTTGACCTTTTCCGAACAAAATATATATCATTCGACGCGGCTTGACAAGGCAAATGCGATGGTACCACTGCCGTAGCTCTAGGACCATTTTTGTCGAAGTTATTTGCAATAAACTAAAACCACATTTCGGGGTCGTTGACCTGACCTCTGACCTCAGGTCACCAAAACTATTTTTCTATTTTTCTCTAGGTCAAACGCCACACAGCCGTGCTCGTAATTTGTCTTTATCTCTAAAACTCTATTTTTAGCAGCTATTTGAAGTTTGCGTCTGTGACGCCGATTTTTGCCGTGCAGGGGTCTAGAAAAATGGACCTTTTTTAACTCACGTTTATTGATCGGAACACCCATCCATCAGCACACATCAACCCAGCAGGACGGTAGCAGCTCACACTCGAGCATGCTACACACATTCTAAACATCACCAGGCACTCTCCCATAGCCGTCATCTGTCACCCCCGTGATCCGTCAATAAATTTAGCGTCCGGCGCACCGCTCGCTGCCTGTCGCCAGTGTGTTTACTACCTATTCACGAGCCAGGCGGCGCCACGACGCCCCACGACGGCGGCCCCCGGCCCGGCGGACCGGCAGAGGACGGCGAGGGCGGCAGCGTGGAGACCTTGGAAACGGTCTCGTGAGATAAATCGCGCGACAACCGCCAACGCCGTACAGCGGCCGACGCGCTCGCTAGCTTGATTGAAGGAAGGAGAATATCAGGGTTTGGGATACTATGAGGGGGTGCCAATGTGTATTGTGTTATAAGAGTATAGGTGGCGGTAATGTGTTCATGTGACTGTGCAGTGTGTTTGTGTGTTGTGTATGTGTGTGTGTATGTGTTTTTTTCTTCATGTCCTATTCATTTTTAATGCAGTCTTCACTGTTTAAGCATTGATATGCCTAAGTGCTCCCCATTTCTCTTGAAAGTTATTTTGTTTGCCGAGCAACTCGGCAACTTTGCTTTCTGTTTCGATTTCTTGTTTTAACATGTTCATCCAGTGTGTGATGTGTGGTGTGCTATCTTTGCAGCGCGCTCTGTATATTGCTATTTTTGCTAATGTGAATATCAATGTTTCCCTGGCTGGTAAATCTGTGGGAAATAACCATGTTTTTAAATTTACACTTACACTTACGTTGTACTTGTTTAGAAGTTCAGTTTTCACTGCCGTGATAAATTCTTTTGTTATGGGACAGTACCAAAATAAGTGTGATATGGTCTCGGGCTCAGCATTACAGAAAGTACAGTTTTCGCTTTCTTTCACATTGATCATCCGCAAGTATTTGTTGGTAACTGTGATGCGATTTACAATTTTATATTGAAA